GGAGATTCAACAAGGACAAGGGCAGAGTTCTGCACTTAGGAAGGAAGAATCCCATGCACTGCTACAGACTGGGGACCGAATGGCTAGGTAGCAGTTCCACAGAAAAGGACCTAGGGGTCACAGTGGACGAGAAGCTGGATATGAGTCAACAGTGTGCTCTTGTTGCCAAGAAGGTTAACGGCATTTTGGGCTGTATAAGTAGGGGCATTGCCAATAGATCGAGGAATGTGATCATTCCCCTTTATTCGACATTGGTGAGGCCTTATCTGGAGTACTGTGTCCAGTTTTGGGTCCCACACTACAAGAAGGATGTGGAAAAATTGGAAAGAGTCCAGCGGAGGGCAACAAAAATGATTAGCGGTCTGGAGCACATGACTTATGAGGAGAGGCTGAGGGAACTGGGATTGTTTAGTCTCCAGAAGAGAAGAATGAGGGGGGATTTGATAGCAGCCTTCAACTACCCGAAGGGGGGTTCCAAAGAGGATGGATGGCAGCTGTTCTCAGTGGTGGCAGATGACAGAACAAGGAGCAATGGTCTCAAGTTGCAGTGGGGGAGGTCTAGGTTGGATATTAGGAAACACTATTTCACTAAGAGGGTGGTGAAGCACTGGAATGCGTTACCTAGGGAGGTGGTGGAGTCTCCTTCCTTGGAGGTTTTTAAGGCCCGGCTTGACAAAGCCCTAGCTGGGATGATTTAGTTGGGAATTGGTCCTGCTTTGAGCAGGGGGTTGGACTAGGTGACCTCCTGAGGTCCCTTCCAACCCTGATATTCTATGATTCTATGATTGCTTCTGATGGGTGCAGGAAATACAGTTGTGTATTGTAATTTAAATGAATTATTCAAAGTTCTGTATTAATATGCCTAATCCATTTGCCAAAAAAAATTACCAGAATCTTTTTTTTTTTTGGGTCTGTATTGTTACAGATACACTTGCTGATAGATATTTTGAAATAAATTACCAAAATAATTTAAACGGGCATGATTATATTGTGTTATTTTAACAAAAAATATGCAGAATTTTAAAATATTGTGCGCAGAATTTTTAGGCGCAGAATTCCCCCAGGAGTATAATATTACCTGGACATCAGTAAAATGTGAGGACCATTCCGGACATTATCTATACCATAAAATCAAACTTTTTGACTTGAGAGCTCTTCTTCTCTTGCATTTTTTTCAACTCTGCTGGTGTTTCAGGCAAGTGTTTTCTGCACCATTACATTCAGTGCTACCCACTTGAGGTTTGCATGTTAGATGGCTGATAATACTGAGTAGTCTACCAGGATACATAATTGTTGAAGAAGATACAATGCTCTCCTTCATGGTCTCTTATTTGTCATTAAAGATACCACTCCATAAGTGTTTGGATTTTGAATAACTACAAGACACGTTTCTACTGAACTGTACTGGTAAACCCCTATTTTAGAAAGCTCACTTTAACCTAAACTGTCTTTGGGGCCCTCTCCAGCCTGGTAGTGGGTTACTGTATTTTTCCTGATTGAAACATAGTTTTATAAAAATGTTGAGCATCCCAAGCAGCTCTAGGAAAGATTTTTTTTTTAAAAATAATTTGCTCTGAATTTGATACTACGCGGTTGAGAATAAAATATTTTAAAACTAAGGTCTGCATCCCCAGAGCACATAACTTCTCCCCAGCTGAATAACAGATCTTTCCTTGATATAGTCACCTCATGATTTTTTGAGATGTGATGTGCAGTGTTTAAGGTTTAATACACCTTTTGTTGCATGCAATTTCCCAGTCTAATTTTTTTTTGGAGGGTGGGGAGATGGAGGAGAGAGTACATGGAGATTAAAAAAAGAAAATCTGAAACTATTCAGCCCACAGAACTTATAAGTCTCTTGAACTAACAACTGTGCTCTTAAACTGTGCACATGTGCTTGGCACACGTGTTGAAGTGCTCACCTGTGAGCATCAAGACAGTTTCTAGTGCACATTCTTAGTATGAAATTTTCAAATGTATATTTGTTAAATCAGCGGTTCTCAAACTGTGAGTCAGGGCCCCAAAGTGGGGCACGACCCCATTTTAATGGGGTTGCCAGTGCTGGCGTTAGATTGCTGGGACACAGGGCTGAAGCTGAAGCCCAAGGGCTTCAGCTTTGGCCTCTCTACCCCGGGCAGGGGGGCTCAGACTCCCCCCCTACTCCTGGCCGGCAGGGCTCGGGTGAGCTCAGGCTTCGGTCCCCTCTCCTGGGGTCATGTAGTAAATTTTGTTGTTAGAAGAGGGTCACAGTGAAGTTTGAGAACCACTGTATTAAATCAAACCCACTCTTTCCCCTAAAACAAAAACAGAATAGTTGTCTCTCAGTAAGGACTATGTCACTACTAACTTACAAACGTCATCTGCTTTAGCCCCATTCATAAAGTGTGGGTAGAATTTTTTCACAGCAAGAAATCCCTCCCCACCTACACATGCACTCCTGTAATTCAGGAACAGGTGCAAGGATTTTTGCTCAAACTTCCCAAATAAAATTCACCTTAAACATGGAAAAGTTCAGGTAAAAAAAAAGTGAGTATTTTGGAAAGATACCAGTATGATCACTTGAAGACACAAGAGTTGTACAGTTTTTCAACCTAAAATACTGCTGGCTATTGGTGCCTACAACTATACTAATAAATGTGCAAAGTGCAGTCATTCATTAAAATATATTAGTGTGGAAAGACACAAATCGTAACACTCATTTAACACAGTGAAAACCCTGGAAAATGGAGAATTACTTTCTTCCTAGAAGAGGAACAGATGTGCATTTGCTTTTTATACCAGAAGTTTGGTTACCCTTTTGCTATGTACAGAATGCTGTTTACCTGCCATCCATTCTATAAAGAGATTATAGTTGCTCTTCTCACATGTAGCACCCAACATTCGAATGATATTAGGATGGTTCAGATGATTCATCATCCTTATCTCTTCTCTCAGTGCTTCGACTACCTCTTCCTGTTCAGATGATGTGTTCCTGACATACGTCACCTATTTCACAAAAACATTTAAATTTTACCTTAGATAATAGTTTTGAAATTAATGTCATAGTTTCATAGAATCATAGAAGATTAGGGTTGGAAGAGACCTCAGGAGATCATCTATAGTCCAATCCCCTCCTCAAAGAAGGACCAACCCCAATTAAATCATCCCAGCCAGGGCTTTGTCAAGCCGGCCTTAAAAACATCTAAGGACGGAGATTCCAACATCTCCCTAGGTAACCCATTTCAGTGCTTCACCACCGTCCTAGTGAATTAATTTTTCCTAATATCCAACCTAGACCTACCCACTACAGCTGAGCTCCATCCTCTTTGGAACCCCCCTTCAGGTAGTTGAAGGTTGCTATCAAATCCCTCCTCTCTTCTCTTCTGCAGACTAAAGGCCAATTCCCTCAGCTGCTCCCCATAAGTCATGTGCCTCAGCCCCCTAATCATTTTCGTTGCCCTCCGCTGGACTCTCTCCAATTTGTCCACATCCTTTCTGTAGTGGGGGGCCCAAAACTGGATGCAATACTCCAGATGTGGCCTCACCAGTGCCAAATAGTGGGGAATAATCACTTCCCTCGATCTGCTGGCAATGCTCCTACTAATGCAGCCCAATATGTGTTAACCTTCTTGGCAACAAGGGCACACTGTTGACTCATATCCAGCTTCTTGTCCACTGTAATCCCCAGGTCCTTTTCTGCAGAACTGCCGCTTAGCTAGTTGGTCCCCAAACTGTAGCAGTGCATAGGATTCTTCTGTCCTAAGTGCAGGACTCTGTATTTGTCATAAGAACATAAGAACAGCCGTACTGGGTCAGACCAAAGGTCCATCTAGCCCAGTATCCGGTCTACCGACAGTGACCAATGCCAGATGTCCCAGAGGGAGTGAACCTAACAGGTAATGATCAATTGATCTCTCTCCTGCCATCCATCTCCACCCTCTGACAAACAGAGTCTAGGGACACCGTTCCTTACCCATCGTGGCTAATAGCCATTAATGGACTTAACTTCATTGTCCTTGTTGAACCACATCAGATTTCTTTTAACCCAATCCTCCAATTTATCTAGGTCACTCTGGATCCTATCCCTACCCTCCAGCATATCTACCTCTCTCTTCCCCCAGCTTAGTGTCATCCGTGAACTTGCTGAGTGTGCAATCCATCCCATCATCCAGATCATTACTGAAGATGTTGAACAAAACCAGTCCCAGGACCGACCCCTGGGGTACTCTTATTGATACCGTTTGCATTTCCTTAACTGTTAATTTGGTTTTGGCATCATAGATCCATCAGATTAATAGGTTTGCATGCCTCATTCTGGAGAGCCTCAAATATCGATTCCTTTCTGCTTCTACTCACTGTCCAGAACTCTGCAAGTTCTGGGTCTTAAATATTTTGAGTCCCTTTTGCTGGCAAGATCTGTAGGGATTTAACTCCAAGGCTGCTTGCAGCAATCATTCTCCTGGTATCTTTGCACATTAAACTCATTTAAACTATTCTGACTATAAAAAGAAGCCCAGACTATTCCAAATTCTTGGGAATCACAAAGCAACATTACAGACCTTTAACTCACTCTGAGTGGACAGAACAAATGCTGCTACAGTAAAAAGAAAATAAAAAAGACTCTCTCTCTCCATTAACACAGCGAAAATTGAAAAACAGGGTTGGTGAGGGTCTGAGTCTACTTTTAGTTTGTCGATTCCTTTCAAAAACAGATAAGATTAAGGTGTCACTTATGGGCAGGACTTCCCTCTCCAGCCAAGTTCAGGTGGGAAAATGCCAGGAGTTCTCCAAAAGCAGAACCCTTGTGATGGAGTAGTCATGCAGCATGCCTTGTGAATTCTCACCAATGTGGAGCAGTTAATAATAGTTGGGGCCACACCTCCCCAATGAATCATAGGATCGCATTTGCCTTTTTCATGGTGGATCAGTCATCCTGTGATTCATTAATACAACCAAGTCTTTCTCCTCTGTTGTTTCAAACTGATGAGACCCCATCTTACAGCAGAGATTCTTGTTCATTAGTCCTGAAGGATCACATTTTCAAAGGCACCTAAAGATGCAGATAGGTGCTTTTGAAAATCACAGTGGTTGCCTGTCATTGATTTCAATGGGAGTTAGACACCTAATGGGATTTTTGAAAGCGCGTATCTGCATCTCTCGGTGCCTAAATACCTTTGAAAATTTGGCCCTAAGTGCATGACCTTGCACTTTGGATTATATTTCATCCCATTTCTATTACTCCAGTCCTTAAGGTCATCCAATCTTCCTGTATCATATTCTGCTCCTCCTCTGTGTTGATGCTTTCTAACTTTGTGAGCCAATGCAGAGGCAAAAAGAGGGGAATCTATAAGCAATTGGGAACATGAAACATAATTTCAAGTACAATGCTTGGAGCTGTGGTTGTTGGACATAGAGTGTCTCAACAATTAACTGCTCTAAAGTGCTTGCAGGACTCCGGAGTCTCAGAAATTTTTTGTAAATGCTACAAAATGAAGCACTGCAGAGACCACAGCAAATTAAGTATCTTTATAAAAGAGGCATTGTAGTCTATTTGGTTGACCACTGGACGAGGATATTGGGAGAGATGGGTTTTAGCCTTGGCTCTGTGTGACCTTGTGCACGTCACTTGTGACATGGGTTTCAGAAGTGCTGAGCATTTCAGCTCCAATTGAAGTCATCTCTGCAGATTAGGCTTAAACTCTTTGTTAGTCTCTCCTCCTCTGTGAAATGGTACACGTAAAACCATCTTTCCACATCAGTTTATTGTAAGGATTAATTAATGTTTGCAATGTGCCTTGCAGGAGACTATTCACATTTTCAGTATTAGTACTACTGACTGTCAGGAAAAGGGCAAGAGTCAGAGGGAATCATTTGGTTTTGATAGAATCTGGAAATGGTCTAGATTTAGAAAGTGGGTTCTTTAAAGATATAAATCAAGAGAAACACCTACATAAACCTGAGTGGGGGGGGGAGAAGGGAAACAAGATGAGAAAACCAGGAAGGACTTCCTGAATGGATTCTGAGTAATGAAAGGTTACTTACCAGTAACTGTTTAAATATATTGTGTCTGCAGATCAACAATGCAGGAGTCTTAGAACCCTTTCAAAGGAGTAAACTCTTGAGGACATATGTGAATGCTCCCTGAATCCACAACTCTGGAAGGGAGGGTATGAAAGCCTCCATCTCCTCCTCCTCCTCTTTCTCCAATTCCAGAAACATCTTTTTAATCTCTGAAGAAGTAGGAAGAGGGAAGGTCTAAGGCTCTGAAGACTATGCTGGTATTTAGATCCTGACTACTGCAGTAAAGGTAACCTGCTATTTCAGATCCATGGAGAGGCCCTATTACCCTAGGACACAATGGAATCAGTAGGCCACTTGTGCTGGGACATGACTGAAATTGATCCTCGGTTCTCAATCCTTACTAGATTTGAAAGGACAGTATCTTGCAAGGAAGTCTCCCTATGCCGTCGCTTCCTCTTTGTTCTGTACGAGGAGTTGCACAGGAGTTGAAGGATTTAGAGCCCTTCACAGACCTGACATCCACTCAGAAGAGAGAGATCAGAGGACACTGGATCTGAAGACCTGAAAGTCCTTGAACCTGTATGTCTTAGATTATTCTCTGACTGATCTCAGAATTTAAGAGTCAGAGTTTATGGCCAAAAGGGATGACCAGATCATCTTGTCTAACCTTCCGTATATCACAGACCACTAAACACCACTTAGCCACCTTCATATCAAGCCCGATAACCAAACTTTAAAGTCTCGCAGACCTGAAACACCTTAAGCAGAAGATCTCTGCTGAGGTCTAGCAGCTCCTAAATCCTCTCTATAAAGGAGCTCTTGCATTTGTGGCTCCTCTCTCATACAGACTGTCATCCAAACATTTTCCATATTGAGGATGCTGGTCCAACCCGGATAACTCTGTGGGGTATAAGAATCACCTCTGAAACAACATCATCTTCTCCATAGCATACGAGTCCTTTGTGGGCAAAATCCTAACCGCTAGAGAAAGAATAGTTCAACAATTATACTAACAACTATCCAGTGAATACGGCCTGGATCGGGAGTTGAGATCTGGGTTTCATTCTCAATTCTGTCACTGACTTGCTGAGTGAACTTGATTGAGGAACAAAAGTATTTAAAGGTCTACAGAAGAAAAGAGCTATATAAATTCAAACTATAACTTTTGCTTTTAGGTGAGGAAGAACCCATGTAAATATAACACTCACACCATACAGAGAAAGGGGTGGGTTCTGTGATCACACCTGAAGATAGGGACGGTTTGGAGAACTGGGCAACTTTTAATTTTCAGGATTCTAGAACAATGCATCAGAAAGAGCAAGCAATGACTCAGAATACAGGGCATTGTGGATCTGCAGAGAACGTTGTGAAGGGCAAACATTATTACAAACTGCTCCCAGTAAATACATCTTTATTCAAGTTCTTTCCCTCTGTTTATTCAGTCATTAAACGTCTAGAAAATACTCACTGAAGTAGAGCATATACCTGTTTCACCGCCATTAATGTCCCAGTTCCTACATCTTGAGCTTGATAACAGGATGAAAATGCTCCAAGGCCTATTTGCTGACCTTTGAGCCATTCCGCATCTTCTCTGTAATGGTGTTTTGCTTTGGTATGTCCAGGCAGTGTTTCCGGTGTCTGCAAATTAAATTAAGAATTAAGATTAACTAGCTAAAATCTTTAAGTGCCTATATGAAAACTACGACTTTTAAAGTTAATTAAGGACAACAGTCTGATCCTTTGTCAATCAATGCATTTTCCTAAATCACCGGAAGCTTCAGATCACTAAACCAGACAGCATGGGATTACTAATGCCAAACATGAGAATGGCCCTTGTTTAGGAATAGAATCTCTCAACTACAAAGAGAAAACATATTCTTAAGTATTCAGAAAACTAGTTAGCTTATACAGAGATGGTAGCTGACTATAATACTACAAACAGCAAGAACCCACTTCCAGTAAGTGTCTTTTTGAAAAGTAAATTAAACTATCTATTTTTAAATGTTAATTTGTTTTCAAACCAATTCTGTGTTTAATAAAATGCATCTTAAATTTAGACACAAGCGGAGAGAAAGGGCCTGAAATATTCAAATTCATACACTACTCTTCCCTCATTATTATTACATAGCACTTAGAAGCCCCATTTGAGATTGGATGCCATTATGCGAGGTGCCATAGCAACACATAGTAAGAGTCCCTGCCGCAAAGACCTTACAATCTAAACATACAAGACAGAGTAGGAGGGAAAACAAGGGCACAGAAAGTGGAAGTGATCTTTCCCTCTATATTTTATCTCTATTTGACCTCATCTGCTCTCAAAGTTTCAATTAACTTGATGAGACCTAAATCTACCTCTCTACCCTAACCTCTGCTCATTTTGTATTTCTGACATCTTATATTGGATGTGTCACCAACTCCCATTCAACATGGCAAAAACTGAAGTGTGTATTCTTTTCCTCACAACCCCCCAACCTTTTTGTCCCCCCCCCCAACAATTCAACTACCCTTTCCACTATGGCTTCCAAACTGTGTAAAACGCCTCTTTTCCCTTCCATAAATAGGCTCTCATCAAATCACATCAGCTCTTCCTCTAAAATATCTATAAAAATATGCTTTTCCCCTCCATTCCTATTTCTAAAGCTCTTATCTATTGCTTGAGTAATGAATGTATTCTTCTCTATTCTGGCCTCCGTATATCTCACCTAGCTCCTCTCCCCACATATACTGCTGTTAATTCTTTTTCACTCCTGCTGCCTGCTTGTGTCACTGAGTTCCCCCCCTCAACTTCTGCATCAAGTTCAACCTCATTGTCAAACACCTGGCACAACTCTGTTCCTCCTTAAATCCAAGTTCTCACTTCTGCTTACTCCACCTTTCTTTCCCTTTGTTCTCCTCTAATTGCTTTGTACCCTTCTCCCATTCTTGTCTTCAAACTTTCTTCTGTCACCTCATGCCTGGAAATCTCCTTGGTGCAGCAGATTGTGTCTTTCCTCCAAAAAAAATATCAAAACATTTCAACAATGACCTCCACAAGATTCTATCAGTACTTCAAACTCACACTGGCAGCTGCTTGTCTGTATCTGTATTTGATTCGAATTCCTAGGAACTGTGTCCTCCTTATGTCTGTGCACTGTTGAGAACACACTACATGTTCATTAAATAATGGCAGTGAACTGAAACATGGCCTTATTACAGAACTAAAAAACAACCCCCCTCCTCCCCCCAAAAACCCCACCCAACCACAGTATACTCACATCCTGCTGAATAATTATGATATCTTCCCCATTTTCAACCTGTAGTTGGGGAACTATTGGTAGGGCATCTTGAGACGCTGACATTGCCATGGCAATAGCTAAAGCCTCCTCTTCTTCGGCTTCCATCTTTTCCTTGCATTTTTGATTATGATTTACATCATCTTTGTAAGTGTCATCGTTTTCCACCCGTTCAGGAGAAAGAACGGCAACTTCCGACTTGAATGTAACCGTGCCATCGCTTGTAGGCATAGAGGCCTCAAGTAAGTCCTCAATACTGGAATTGAGCTCTGCATTGACATCCAGTTGACTACTCTTCTCCTCTACTGGTGTGAACACGGTCTCTTCACTTGGTATAATTGCATTACTACAACTGCTACTGCTGTCACACTGTAAAATATCATTCAGATCAAGTGTCATATTGGTTTTTGAGGCTTCACCTGGAGTAGGTCGAGATGGCTTTGGCCTGTGTATATGATTGGATGGCATAGCTCTGGCCTGGGTAAAAACTGGGGAAAGTTTCTCTGGTTCTTTATTTTCAGAACAGTTTCTTTCAATGTGTAGAGAAAGTTTCCGTTGTGTTTGAGGAGAAGTTGAGGGTATTTTGCAGGGAATGAATCCCTGAGGTCTGACTTTAGACATATCTGTTACAGGGCCAACTGGTACAGCTGGGGTTGAGGGAGAGGGCAGTATTGGGAATAATGACTGGGAATGACTGGATGAGGGAGAAAAGTTCAAACACTGACTATGGGGTCTGCCTTTTGTTTGAACGGCTGGCTTTGGTTGCTCGGTGGTTACTGATGAAACAGGAAGTCCTAAAGAAATGCCAGCCAGTATCTCAGAAATGTCCTCTGGACCGGCACTCAATTTTTTATCACCCAATCCTCTTCCACTTTTCCCTGATAACTGGACAGTATTGTTAGGAGTATTACTTTCTGTTGTTTCTGGAGAGTTATCTGGGGCAGATAGCTGCATAAAGTCATCACATCTGCATTCCACAGAATGCACCTCTTCCATGCCTAGCTGGATGGCTTCTGCAATCTCCATTTCATCTGCTATTGCCAACAATCGTCGACGCATCCTTGTGTAATGAGTTGAGCTTGTCACACTCAACATTTCTAATAGTTTTACGAACACATGGGGTACTCTTGCAACCATTCTTGCAGCACTCAAAAATACCCTCCGGGACAATTTACCCACCATTGAGTGGGAATTATCAATTGACTGCAAGGCAAAATTCAAGAGGGACAGCAGCTTCTTATACCTATAAATAAATAAATAAATAAATAAATGTGTGTGTGTGCGCACGCACGTATTTTTATATATATTATAAAATATAAATAATACTGTTAAAGCTCATATGTACTAATTACAATTCTAGAAGCAATCTACACAATGCATATCAACAACAGATCAGTACATTGACAGCTAATATATTAATTATCGTATGAGTGTTTAAGTATATGTTTTCAGTAGGAAAGGCAAATTTTCAAAGCTGGCAACTAGCTGTCTAAATTGTGCATCCAAAAGTCAACCCTTTGCCTCGGATAACTTAGGCAGCCATTTTTGAAGACCTGGCCAACAATTCAGTTACAGAGAAGAAGAAATGAAATAGTTAAGAAATACCTGTCTACTACAGTGTCAGCCTGTAAAACATCCCCGCTGACAATGTGAGGATAAAATTCACCAGGGAATTCCAATAAAAGTCTGTCTATAAGACAAAGACGTCCAAGTAGGGCTTGCCAGTTGTTCGATTCAGTCTGGGTTCCAAGAATACAATTTAAGATGTAATCAACACCACCAATACCAATGGACCCTATGAAAATATAGTTTATAAGATCAGAGTTAAACCAAGAGTCTATGAAATTCTGATAGATCAAATCCTAGCTTACTGAAAGGTAAAGACAGCATGGTTATAAAGTACATAGAAACAGAACTTTTTTGTCAGAAAATTGAATAAAAAGTAGAAAATTCTCAAAGCAACACAGTTCCCTTTACAATATTGACTTTTGATACGTTCTTCAATATAGTTAAAATGATTCATGATATTTGCTTACAGACAAAACGTGACGATAATTGCGTATGTACAATAAAGCGGTTTTACCAGATTTAAGTATTTCTCTACCAACTGCCAGCTCTCCTGCTTGGCCTTTACACATCTCCAACAGCGTTGAAACTGAAAGTTGGCTTGTGCGGCTATGGGAAATGAAAACCAAAAGTAAATCCCACATCTTATATTTTTAATTAACAACATTTTCACCATTAACATTTCTGGAATTGATATATCAATAGACTGGAGATTGTTTGATTTTCTTCATTAATGAGTTATGATGAACAAATTATTCTGACTGATTTCACATCATTTTCTCCCTTTATATCTTAAAAATGTTTTGGCATTGTTCACCTAGAATCATGCACTGCCTAAAAATCTACTGTAAAAATCTAATACCACCCATTCTCTTGCCTACATCATTAAAATCTAACAGTTTCTGAATTTTTATGTCTTCTGGAGAGAATCCTTTTAGTATAGAAAAAACAATCCGATGATACAACCTCGCCCACCTACATGAGTGGCCAAATCTTGGAATACAACACTACTTCTTTTTTTTTTTTTTTTTTTTTAAACAAAGTAAATGAATGCTTATTTCACCTGATGTCATTCCTTTACATTTTTCAGATCAACACTTACTCTGTAACTGGACCAATAAAAGATTACCATTCCAAAAGACATCTCTATTAATATGCAATTATAAGTGCCATATACTAATAACATAATGAAGCAGATATGTATGGTATTTTATCACAATGGCCAATTGTGTGTGTGTAAATACCTATGGCTTGATATTATAGAATCATAGGACTGGAAGGGACCTTGAGAGGTCATCATGGAACTTTTACTTTCTAGTATATACAAAGGTGGAGAATTGAGCATGAACCATTATATCAGTATGTGTTATTTTTAGGGCCGTCGATTAATCGCAGTTAACTCAAAAAAATTAACTGTGGTTAAGAAAATTAATCAATGGAATACCAATTGAAATTTATTAAATATTTGGGATGTTTTTCTATATTTTCAAATATATTGATTTCTATTACAACACAGAATACAAAGTGTACAGTGCTCACTTTATATTATTTTTGATCATTTTTACAGTTCAAATATGTGTAATCAAAAGAAACAGTATTTTTCAATTCACCTCATACAAGTACTGTAGTGCAATCTTGATCATGAAAGTGTAACTTACAAATGTAGATTTTTGTTACATAACTGCACTCAAAAACAAAACAATGTAAAACTTCAGACCCTACACGTCCACTCGGTCCTACTTCTTGTTCAGCCAATTGCTCAGACAAACAAGTTTGTTTACACCTACAGGAGACACTGCTGCCCGCTTCTTATTTACAATGTCACCTGAAAGTGAGAACAGGTGTTCGCATGGCACTTTTGTAGCCGGAGTTGCAAGATATTTACGAGCCAGATATGCTAAACATTCGTTTGCCCCTTCATGGTTCAGCCACCATACCGGAGGACATGCTTCCATGCTGATGTTTGTTTGTTAAAAAAAATAGTGCGTTAATTAAATCTGTGACCTAACTCCTTGGGGGAGAACTGTATGTCCCCTGCTCTGTTTTACCCATATTCTGCCATTCATTTCATGTTATAGCAGTCTCGGATGATGACCCAGCACATGTTGCTTGTTTTACGAATATTGTACTGTCACTGCAGATTTGACAAAATGCAAAGAAGGTATCAATATGAAATTTCTAACAATAGCTACAGCACTCAACCCAAGATTTAAGAATCTGAAGTGCCGTCCAAAATCTGAGAGGGAAGAGGAGTGGAGCATGCTTTCAGAAGTCTTAAAAGAGCAACACTCAGATGCGGAAACTACAGAACCCGAACCACCAAAAAAGAAAACCAGCCTTCTGCTGGTGGCATCTGACTCAGATGATGAAAATGAACATGCATCGGTCCACTCTGCTTTGGATTGTTTTCGAGCAAAACCTGTCATCAGCATGGACGCATAGCCTCTGGAATGGCGGTTGAAGCATGAAGGGACATGAGAATATTTAGCACATCTGGCACATAAATATCTTGCGACGCTGGTTACAACAGTGCCATGCCTACGCCTGTTCTCACTTTCAGGTGACATTGTAAACAAGAAGCGGGCAGCATTATCTCTTGCAAATGTAACCAAACTTGTTTGTCTGAGTGATTGGCTGAAGTAGGACTGAGTGGACTTGAAGGCTCTAAAGTTTTACATTGTTCTATTTTTGAATTCAAATTTTTTTTGGTACATAATTCGACATTTCTAAGTTCAACTTTCATGATAAAGAGATTGCATTACAGTACTTATATTAGGTGAACTGAAAATACTATTTCTTTCTTTTTTTACAGTACAAATATTTGTAATCAATGATAAATATAAAGTGAGCACCGTACACTTTGTATTCTGTGTTGTAACTGAAATCAATATATTTGAAAATGTAGAAAACATCCAAAAATATATAAATAAATGGTATTTTATTATTGTTTAACAGTGTGATTAATCGTGCATTTAATTTTTAATCGTGAAATTATCGTAATTAATTTTTTTAATCGCTTGACAGCCCTAGTTATTTTGTATTACAGCAAGAATCAGTTCCCAACTTATCTGTTTGTACAGTGGATAGTAAAAACAGTCCATGCTCCAGAGGCCACAATCTAGAATTATTACAATTACTGAGTCCTGAAAGAATGGTACATAGTACTACAGAGGAGTAAACAGAGAGGAATAATACTAGAGGAATATTAAGAACCAGACTAATAAAAGAGACTCAATTGGAATACCAAGCACTAGGTCAGGGCAATACAAGATAACCAAGAGTATAAAGAAGGATGGTGAGAACATACACCCAAAATTTCAAGTCAACATTTGTTGAGAAAGAAAAGATAGGCCCCATAAAGTCAATAAAAAGAATGCTGCATTCGCTAAGTATTGCACATACTGAAAAAAATAATATGAGGTGCCTCCAAAACACACCTAGAACTCTGTCACGGTAATTTGAATACTACAAAATAATTTCCTCCAAAGACTTCCAGGACCTATACAACATATATTTATAGCCCTATTTGTGATCCACACCTCTTAATCTATAGCCACCAAGAGTCTGCATACTCTCTGCTTCTACATGAAATAAAAGTTCAGAATCTAGTTTTAAAAGATTATAGAAAACTTGAAGGCCTACTGAATCAACCACCATACCTGTTGGCATCTGCACATTTAACTAATATAGTCTCTACAACTGGCTTGAGAAGTCGCTGTAGTTTTGTCCTTTCTGCCAAACTATGACAAGGAGTATAAACCAGCATGGCTCTTAATGTTTTCTAAGAAAGGGAAAAAAAGAAATATGAAGTCAGGTCAACTACACTTCAGCTTATTATAAAAACGTTTATAAATAGGTTTATATAACGCATATGAAACAGAGTGCTTATTAGTGTGACAAAGGGTTAATACCTTACTATCGTATATACTTAGTGTTAGAATTATTCAATCTGAAATCTGGTCTTATGAACATTGTAAGTATGATCAACACTCTAGCTCACTGTACCAGGCAACTGAATATATTTGGCCAGATCCTCAGCTGGTGAAGTCAGTGAAGCCATGCCAATTTACATCTGCTGAAGATCTCATCTATTCCTTTCTCAGACAATGCTTAAGAGCTAAATAGGGTCTGACTTTCAACTGTGATGAGCACTCACAATTCCCACTGACTTTTCTGGGAGCTGAGTGTGCCTATTAGTTCTAAAAATCAGTCTCCAAGCTACTTCACAAAATGTCAAAATATGGTAAGTAAACAACTACTTACTAAAGCAGCAACATACACTTTGTAGACAGGGTCAGCACAGACCATGGACAGCACACTGCAGCAGGATTCCACTACAACATCTCCTGAGATACCGGTCTGAGATGATCCACTAGCTGCTCCCAGAGCTCCAGCACTTGTGTTGTTTCCATTGCTGCTTCCAGAATTTCCAGTGCTTTCACCATTAGCCAGTAATAGAGCACCACTAACATCATGGGAAAGACGTCTAAGTGCCATCTCCCGTATATTCCAGTTTCGAGAAAACAAGCAGCCAACTAACTCCATTCCAAATACCTAATAAAAGTAAACATATTCCATTTGACTTGGTTGCAAAACATAACATTTCAAGCTTAAGTATTTAAGTACAGTATTTCAGGAAATGTCAAAAAAGGTTTAAAGGGAAAATCTTGTCTTAATCTTTTATGACAGAAAATATACCAGCAGTATCAATTTTAAATATGCAGCCTGTCATATAAAATGAAATACTATGAATGGTAATGCATAGATCCTTCAAAGACTTAGCTATATTTTTGAAAATAATTATTTTCCTCCATTACATTTTTTAAAATGTCATTATAATTCTGAAGCCAATTACAAACTGCTAGTGAGCTTTACAGGGAGTAGTTCCCTTTGCTTCCTTCCTGTCTTCAGTGGGAAAATCCGTTCCGCATGAAAAGTCAGATTGGTAGTTCTGCTGACAAAGACCCTCTATCCACAGAATAGGTACAGACAGAGGGGACGCTAGTAGTTTCCCCACACAGCCTTCCTAAAGTGCCTCATCCATGTTCAGCTAGTCCCCTCTTTAGAGGTAAGAGAGTAGTTCATCTTCCATGGCATTCAGTACTTGGCATCTCAGTTATGGCTACCAACAAGAGTGTCTATTAGTGCTAATTATGTTTGCGATGTGACACCTGTCCACTAGGAATTAGGACCAAAAACACCAACTCTTTTTCACTGAAGAGGGTGTGATAGTCTCCAACCGAAAATCCCAAAGGAAAAAAACAGATTGGGGGTGGAAAAAGTTTCCGGGTATTTATTTATTCATTTATTTTTAAAACACAATCAACCAACTATGAAGCCGATGTGGTTCAGAATAATTTGTGGAGTACCATAATGTGCTTTAGATTGTGTCAGGAACTCCAAACACCCATATATTTCTAATTTATAAATGAGTGCACTTCAGAATTTTTTCATCTTTTTCATACTGTTTTCATTGCATGAGCATAAGACCTCTGTCATACTTTTCTTAATATTCTTGGGTAGCCTACTTAGTAACTTGAACACAATACTCTGTGATATTCTTTCAGGCAGACTCAGCAGAATTACGCAGGAACTCACTTTTTGCTGTATGGATGCTTGTAGCTATTATCAGGTGATTTCTCATATTATATTTTTAAAAATGAGCAAGCAGGAGGTGCATAACAAAATGGAGCTTTGAAAGAATTTGGAACAGGGAGAATAAAGCCCCGCTGTTGAGCTTGCATTAAAATCAAAAGAGGGGTAATACATTTCCAAAGCATCTGCTTGCTGGCCCATATGCACAATGACAGTGGCTTCTTCGGAGGAAGAAACAAGACCTGGCACAAGTGGTTTTGCACAGGCAGCTACTGGGATGACCTTACCTTAAAAAAAAAACAACACACACACACACCAGGGAAAATCCCACCTCAAAATGGCAAATTGTTTTAATTTGAAATTCACTTTGTAAGTTAAACCGTTACCTGAATCCATGGCTCAGCTAAATCTTTATAGGCGGAAGGGATCTGCTGAACCCCATAATGAGTAAGGTTAAAATTACTATCTTGTGTTCTCCTTTGCGATCCACCTGTAGGCTGCTGCTGATTTTGCTGTTGAACCATTCGGAGAACTGAAGGAGAATCCACAGGGCTTGGCAATTCATGACTACAAATAAACAATAAATATTTAATGTGGATGAAAAAATTAAACATTTACACACTTTAAAGCTCTATACTTTAACTACAGATCCAGAAATGTGAGATTCAATCTGTTCAGAAAACTGAATACTTACCTATAGAAATCATGAGATCTCCACTTAGATCTACAAAGAGGGCATATAAGTGGCTCTCTGTTTCTTCTACATTCTTCTGCCCCTGAAATGCAGTAATCACAGAATAACATGATGCCTAGAGCATATTATAGACTTATGGGAATGTAAAAACAAATGTATGGTTATAAAAATCAACAAATTAAATAGTAAATTTTACTTTAAATTAGAATATATCCTTTTCCTGATAAGGTAAATGTAGTTCTGAATTCAGCTGTCTACAGCATATTGTATGGTTTACAAGACAATCGAGGCATATTGGACCAACTTCTGTTGGGGAAAGAGACAAGCTTTCAAGCTTACACAGAGCTCTTCCTCAGGTCTGGGAATGGTACTCGAAGTGTCACAGCTAAATACAAGGTGGAACAGATTGTTAAGCATAAGGAGTTAATGTATGTTGCAAAAGACCATTCAAGATGAAGTGAGCAGTTAACACTCATTTGTCCTATGACTGCAGTGGTGTTAAGTGGCTTACAGATTGTTGTAATAAGCCATAAACCCAGACAGTGTATCATTAGACAATTACAACCCATACTCATGAGGATCACATCCTGAAGGAAATCTTACCAGAGCCCCAACTTCTGCCTGCAAATAACCCTCCAACCTTGCCGAAGCCATAATCAGAAGCAAGTTCCCCACACCAACTCAAAGCAATACCTGATCCAGCTATAACAGATGCAAAACCTGCAGCCATATCTCCCCTGCTCCGATGAGCAATTACCCCACCCTCAATACACCTACAGATGCTTATCACAACACACCGTTACCTCATCCTGTGCACTACATGCTCCGACCATCACTATATGTGGGTGAAACCAGACAATCGCCATGCTCCTAAATGAACTCACACAGAAAAGTGATAAGACAAAAACACCCTATCAGTCATGGTCAAAAACTTTTCACAAAACCATCACCCTGTATCTGACCTCTCAATCCTCGTCCTCAAAGGAAGCTCCTTCAAAAGACAAGCCTGGGAACTAAAATTCATAACTTGAAGTCATGGACTCAACAAAGACACTGGATTTATGGCTCATTATAACAATCTGTAACCCACTAAGCCTCCTTTGTCCTACAACTGTAGAGGTATTAGCTGCCCACTTCACCTTAAATGGTCTCTTGCAACATGTTAACTCTTTATGCTTAACAAATTTGTTCCACCTTGTATTTAGCTGTGACACTGAGTATCATTCCCAGACCTGAAAAAGTACTCTGTAAGATTAAAAGCTTGTCTCTTTCACCAACAGAAGTTGGTCCAATAAAAGATATTATCTCACCCATCCTGTCTCTCTAATATCCGAGGACCAATACGGCTACAACTACACTATAAATTTTAACCACACTTTATTTGTGCTGCTTCTCCTAAGGCAACATTGTTCATTTACATTAATCATGATAGTCCACATTAATATCCACTAGTTGATAGAGTTTCAGTAAGTTCTCCACAAGCAACACAATGAAATATAGAGCTTCACATTCATCTTTCAGGTCAGTATACTTTTAATATAAAGCTTGTTTCATTAACTTGCATTTCAAAGAATGGGTATCATCTATACTACAGTTTGTTTATGTATTTAAAGTCACCAGTAATAAATGTAAATAAAACAATGACATACAAATTGACATGCAGTGATGATGTAACTTATTCCTGCAGCCATCTTCACACACAGTCAGGCTCTCTTCATCCAGCATGCCTAACAAACAAATGGGGCACATCTGTTCTTCTTCATCCTTCATACTATAAAAAAACCCAGACATTAGCAATATGAAAAATTGCACAGATCAGAAGCTAATATAGGCATTAAGTCAAATACTGATTAATGATCAATGCTAGTTGTCATAATATTCTATAACAGCATATCACATTAAAACAGTTAAGACCAAGAGCTAGAAGCCTCAGTGAGCGGCGTGATTTTCAGAAGTGCTGAGCACTCAGCAGCTTCTGTTGCAATCAATGGGATCTGCGTGGCGTTCGGCACTCAGGAAAATCAGGCCACACAGCTAAAAAATGACTTAGGAGCATAACTTTAGGGAAAGACACAATTTTGAAAATCTTGTCCTAAAGAAATCTACTTTGCTGTTTACTCAATATTTGTGATTGGAATGATTAAGGAATTATTAGTAACTTATACACTGAAACAAAACATATTTCTTCTTTGTTACACTTCATCCACAACTCAAGACATTTGTTCAAAAGTTGCTCTTTAGACCATCACAGCAGGCCTTGAATACTATTTGATGAACATGTGTAAAATTCAAAAAGCAAATGTAAAATAAATATAGCTGCTCTATATTTTTGCTGCAAGCAGGTGTAAATATTTATCGCATTCTCGTATGCAACAATATACTAATCAGAACTATTTTATTCAGATCAAAACACCAAATTTTTATCAGCTAAATTTTAGATGTACTTTCATTTCGTTTTCTACCATTAAACAATTACCTTAATTTCAAACTAATAATCTGAGACTACAGAGAGTTTATGATTGTATTTAAATTACACTGACAACGTATAATAAAATAGCTGAAATTTACCCATTATAACACATTTTTGCAAATGGGCACAAATATATATTTTAATTATAATCATTAAAAGACAGAAATGGGAAGAACGTGCTTGCAACAAAATGGAACGGTGTGGTGTCGGCTTGCGTTTGTGGAGGGACGGACAAGGACAAGCCGGACAAAGGTGATTAAAAGATATCTTACCAGTTATGCCATTGTATACACCTACATAACTTGAAAAAAACAACCTACATTTGTCTGGCAACAGTGAATTAAGTTATGACTGTAGAATTGTATATATTTATGTTTTATTTGTGTATTCATTGTGCCTTGCACAATCACTTTAATTTTCTAAAAAGTTTTTCAATAATTGAGATTTTTTGCAGATCTGAAAAATCCACATCAGTAAATTTACAGTGAAAAATGTTCAATTCTACAGTATCCTAAAAATACAAATTTCAGTGTGGTCATAACTGTATTATACTTTTTACTTTCAAGAATTATTAGTAAACCATGAATTTAAATGAAGTACAACAGAAACAAAGATTGTGTAAACTTATCTCTAATGAAATGGAAATATAGTAATACAGTGACTGTTATATATGAGATAACATGCCAAAATGGCTTCACTATAAAACGATTGCAATACATTTTGCTATATCAACAGCTGCGTGGGTTTTCTTCAGGTGTATCCTAATAATGCAACAATGTAATGTAATAAATCAGAAAGTTATCTAAGTTATTACTATAACAAGTCTTCCCAGACATAAATCTAACTAAAGGAATTAATCTGTCAGAAGAATAATTTCAGGGAAACAATTGTAGGCATTTAACAGGTCTGTATGTGTTTATACATAAATATGTATTTACAATGAAACAGTCTGACAGTTAGAGAAATACACAGGCAACAGGAAATACAAGGCAACAGGAAACCATGTTCATTATCTAAAAGCCCAAACTGAAAACACGCCTGAATATATTAATTTTGCCAGATGGACACTGTTGTCTAAAGTAATGTACCAAGATTATTTATTAACATAAGGTTCCATTTTATGCTAAGATAAGGAAGTGTCATTTTTGGTTTTCTTCTAAGCATCCTCAGAGGAGCATCCACCTTAGTTTATTCAACCAATGTATATAAATTCACAGAAAACATTTAAAAAAAATTAAGAACATAAGACTAATAAAATGAATGTTATTCATTTTAGCCCCTAACAAATTTACAAGATCCGTTAAGCAAAAACAATGAAGTAAAAATAAAAATTTGAAACAGCTTTTCAAAGAATCATTAACTTTACTAAGCTTAAGTACTGGAAACATCATAAATATGCTTCTAATATGGTATGTGCCAGAATGAGACAGATTGAAAAAGAAAATAAAAAAATCCTTTTAAAATAATTTAGTTACTCGATGTATATATGTGGCTCAAAAGTGAATTTTGTGTGTGTGTGTGTGTGTGTACACACACACACACACACACACACAC